AAGCGTCCAACAGTAATGAATTTGTGCATCCAGTCGTCTGTCTGCATGTCTGTCCGTCCGTCTAATGAAAAACATTGTGTCAAATCGAAAAACAAACGAAGCCCCTCATGGGGAGGTCCCAGTAATCGCATAATCACCAAATGTTTGCCAATATAATAAGATAATCATAAAATATTTGCTTTGGTAATCATAAATCAATTTTGTTTAGTAATCAAATAATCATAAACTAAAAGCGTGGTAATCATCATATAACAATTTAAATGTAAAATATTTAATCACAAAAAAGCTTCAAAATCTGGGTCATCCCTGGCATAACTTGCTCGTTCACTTCTTCCATGATTTTTATTTAGTTAGCTCTTCCTCTTCCTCGTCCATCTCCTTGGGTCAAACAGTATCACCTGCATCTTCCATATTTGGTTCGGTAATTTCTCATGTGAAGGACATATATCTCACGTTTTTTAAACCTGCATGGACGAATGAATGTTCTGCAAACGTTGGTATACTGTCGCCAGTCGGATAAAATCCGATGCCATTATTGGTCAGAGAACAGGTTTTTTGTGGGAAAAATTTGGTTGATTATATAGGGAATCACTGAAGCATGACTGGAGCGGGCCCCCCCTTAGGTCAGTCAGCGCCCCCCCCCCCCCCCTCTTATGAAAAGTTCTGGATCCGCCACTGTGGCCTGCCGACTATCGGCGGGTGCCCTATTATAGTAATCACTCTGTCCGTCTATCCATCCGTCCGTCTACACTTTCTATGTCGTAGGATAACACAAGTTTGGTCCGACAGTTTTTAAAACAATTTTAACACAACATTTAGTACCATAAGGGGTAGCTCCCTTTCAATCTTTTTTACTTTTCATTTTCGAGATATTAGACTTAGGCCAGCAGGGCCCTTTAGTCATGGAGGAGTGACTCGGGTCAGTATTCATAATATTGACTTTTTCCATAATTCCCTGAAATTTTTGGTCTCCATTTTTCCCTATTCCCATATTTTTTTTTTCGGACATTCCAATTTACAAAGTTTTGCATGTTCCCTCACACCTTGCGTTTTTCCCATTTTTGATTTCCAAATTCTTAAAAATGAAGCCTTTTAGTACTCATTCTATTAACTGTGTCCATATTTTCATGGCGTTGGATGAACCGCAAAAAATCATGCTTGTCAAAGAGTACATATAGAAAACTGAGGATAAATAAAATTATCTTAAAAGTATCGAAAAGTGCAAATTTAAAAATCTCGCTTCAACGAGTCAAGGCGTCTTATGCCGCTAGGACTACAGATTCATAAGTGATTAGGACATTAAAACACATTGCAATGAATGCCACACAACTAATTGTAAGTTATCACAACTATTTATGCATGCATGCATCTTGGAAGACAATATCACGATGGAAGTTGTCAGTACAAAAAATGTCTGAATCTTATATCATTTAATTAATAACCTAAGATATTTACTTAACTTTTATAATCTTATTTTTCTCACCTTTCCACATGTATTACCAATTCATGTGAGAAAACCATTCTCAAACATGCTTTAAGATGTACTGAAAGGGTATTCATGAAAGGTAATGGTATATATACATAATACCTGCGTTTTGAATAGCAAGAACTGTTAAAATTAAAGTGTCCGCAATTTGACGACAAGGTGTCCGTATTTTAACTCCCCCTGTCTGCATTTACACGACTCAGCATTTCCGCGGGTTTTAAGAGTCTCCAATCTACCAATCAATAGAGGAGACCTGGAAACGCGGGAATTAGTCCATTTGATACCCCTCTATCTCTTCTGTCAAATGCAACCACCAGTATGTCCGCAATTGGCCTCGACGGTATCCGAACTTCCGGATTTGAAAAAGTGTCCGCAATTAGGCGAATTTCCCCTAATAGTACCCCAATAAACACTGTTAATTATCATCTCCCCTTCACACATACCTACAGCGAGGAGACGCTGTATGTGGGCATAATAGTACCCCAATAAACACTGTTAATTATTACCCCCCCCTTTTCACACATACCTACATTGAGAAGACGCTGTATGAGGGTAAAATAGTACCCCAATAAACACTGTTAATTATTACCCCCCCTTTCACACATACCTACATTGAAGAGACGTTGTATGAGAGTATAATAGTACCCCAATAAACACTGTTTATCATACCCCTCCCCCTCCCCACACACATTTTATATCGTGGATTTCAACTTAATGTTGTTGGTAACATTTTATTTTGTGCAGATACCAAATGAAAACCAGTTACGATTTTGGAATGCTTTAGTAATCAAAAACCTATCCAAGACTTATATTTTCATCTGCTCTACCATTTTGAATGATTTCTAATCACAGACATTCAAAAACTTGACAGCATTGTTGCAGTTGATCATATTTTGTGCAAACTAAGGCCTAGAAGAGCACTAGATACATGTGTACTCAACAACGGGTATGTCATATATTGTATGGACAAGACGGCTATTTTTACGAAGAACCAGCTTGATTTGCCATTCCGTTTGAATATAGACTGTTTGTTTGCAGATATGACAGCTACCACGAAAAACGTGAATTATATAACAATGGAATCACTGACATCAGGTGGTTCAGACCAAGTAATCAGTGTATAAATCGAATCAGGTTTTCAACTGTGACAACTCATTTTTCATGAGCAATCACGAAGAAACAAATACCCGTTCAAATGACGCATCCTTTTTCTTGTGAGTTATGATCTCTATTACGATATAAAAGATTAAAAGTTAATTCAACTAAAGTAAATTCAAATGTGGTTGTGAAAAAGCAGAATGGTTAGTGAGGTATGTGATATTTTATGTATAGCCATTTTTGCTGATTCTTTCAAATTGTGATTTTACTTGCGTGAAATTTGATTTACTCATTTGCTTACTTATTGTTTGTTTTAATTTAGTCTGAAGTGTTTATATTTATACATCTTATGCTTTCTATTAGTTATTCCGAACACCATTTAACAGGTATCCAATCCTCGTAAACTTCACTGGGTACGAAAAAGAGTTGAGTGGAAGTATTATGATATGGACCATAGCTGGGTGTTATTCTTGTACATGACACTCCATGCACTTTGAAACCCCCATTACATGATTAAAATGATACATTTCCCCTATAAATCTTCAGTTAAAAAAAAATATGCTATTGTGATAAAATGAGGTTTCCGCCTTCTAACGCAACAATAGTCTTTGTTAGTATTGTCTGTTCTAGTTAGGTGCTTTTGGTTTTTAATAAATCATACATTTTTTACAGTTTTCGCTTTCTTAATTTTATTCTTCGGACGAATCTGGTGATGGTTGTTCCAGAAACAAACGTTTTGCGCATGAAAATATTTCCATTCGTGTTTCTTGGTAAATGCAGTAAAAGAGTAATTACATTGTGGGTGCTACAATACAACTAAACTCATCGAACTTACCTTACTCTTCCAATTACGGTCGAACCCCGTTTCTGGTTCAGGTGTTTCTTATCCAAACTTTTATATATAGTGCTAAAACTATTAGCATCAAAGTGCTAAAAACTATTAGCATTGTAAATATTCAATAATTTTTTGATGCTTAACGTTTTGAAAGCAATCATCAATAAGCAATAATTAATATGTTGTTGCAAGAATACACTGGTAAATCACGCATTTTCACGAATATGGAAAGAAAATCCTAGATAACAACAATAATCAAATTCCCAAGTTAAACTTGCTGCTTTCTTTTATTTATTTGATCATTTGCATTTCATTTTAACATTTTTGTCGAGCCTGCGACGAAAGCGAGACATAGCGATCTTAGATTCCGTCGTCGGCGTCGGCGGCAGCAACATTTAGGTTCAGTCTGTGGTTAAAGTTTTTTTAGACATCAATAACTTTGTCAAACCTTCATGGAATTTTTGATCAGGAACTTGTTTATGACCAAAATACAGTATCCAGAGCAAAATTTTTAAAATATTTATTTTCATTTTTCCGTATTCTACTGATAAATGGACTTACCCTTTTTACAGTTAACATTCATATTCAGTCTGAGGTTAAAGGAAGTTTTTCAGTCATCAATAACTTTGTCAAACCTTCATGGAATTTAATGAAATTTGGCAAGAAGCTTGTTTATGACCAAAATACAGTATCGAGAGCAAAATTTTGAAAATATTTATTTTCATTTTCCGTATTTCACTGATGACTTTTTTTTTTACATATAACAAGTAGATGTATTCTGGGGTTAAAGTTTGTTACACATCAAATACCTCGTCAAACCTTCATAGAATTTTATGAAACTGTTTTATGATTAAGAGATAATGTCTGAAGCAAACTTTTGAAAATATATTTTCATTTTCAGTATTTTTCTGATACATTTAACATTTACAGACAGTCATGGATTAAATTTTGTTGACATGATAAGTTTGTTAACCTTCATGGATTGTTATGAAACTTGGACAGAAGCTAATGTTCAAGACCAAGAAATAGCATCTAAAGAGAAAGTTTGATTTTTTTTTTTAATTCTGTATTTTACTGATAAACGGACTTACTTTTTAAGTCAACATTACTTTTTTACACTGACAGCTGCAATCGTAGGCGAGACACAGGGTTCCGCGGAAACCTTTAGGAATTTTTGTTTATTTTGATTACAACTATCAATATCTATTCGTACGAATACATAATCTGAAACAGTAACTTAAGATTAACTGCTGTTGTAAGTGATTGCATTATATGCTTTAATTACGTCGTGAATGCTTTCATTTGCATTAGCAAGTAATTTAATCTCAACTCAACTGTGAGGAAGTTTTTTTGTAAACCAGAAGTTTATTTTGGACAAGAAGGATGTGTTGTTCACTAGAAACAAGTAGCTTTATCTAAGGCAACGACAATGGTTGCTTATTGTAAAGTTTTGCGTTTTTGTGTTGTTTGGTTGTTGTATCTTTGGTGTATACCCGATCCTTTTATTTATAGATATTTTTAATTTCGTTTTCAGTTTTTAAAGAACTATAAGTATTGCAATATCTAACAAATGTGTATGGTTTTTATTCTTTACATATATTCATACATTTCTAGTAGTAAACGCTCAATACTTCAAAATATGTCTCCTGGGGGGCACAGACGAAAACATTTTTATAAATCAAATTGTTGTAAGATCATGAAAAATGTTCTTACTTAAACAAGCCAAATTATGAAATATTTAATCCTCCTTTTGGAATATTAAATAAAAAAGTGTCTATAATTGTGATATTAATCAGTTATTTTGAAATACGAGTACTGCTCAACTATAATTGCTGCTGTTGAAGAAATTGTGATATTTGGTAATTTTGAAAGTTTTTAAAGTACCGAACTGTGAGTCACTGCACCAAAGTACACCATTCTTATCGAGCGCTATGTTTGGTTTGTATCGCCCAAATTTGTCTTCACAATTCGTAAAACCTATACAACGCAAATGTCCGAATTCGTCTATCACATGAAGACACCCTTCTGGAGTAGAAACAATGAACTGTCCAGTATCGGTACTGCAAATGCCAGTAGGTCGAAAATTAATTTGATGTTCTATTTCAAGAAATGGAACTGACATTGTAACCATACTAATATTAGCTTTATGTATTATACAATTTCCATCTGAAACTTTTAAAATTGTAATAGAATGAGTTTCCAGGTCTAAAACAGCAATTGTTCCCGCTTTCTTATTATAAGCAATTTTGTGTGGAAATTCGAGCGTATTGCATTCTCTTGAAATTTCATTCAATTTTAAAAGCAGTTCTCCATGCATGGAATAAACATGCACGTGTCCTCTCCTGGAAATGTTTCTTTTGTAAATCGGATTCCATATATCTGGACCGCATGCCAATATTTTCCCGTTTGATAATTCAACCAAATCAATTGGACAGAAATCAATGCATGTCAAGAAATGTGACCAACCACCGAAGGCATACTTTAAAATCAGTTTCTCATCGGGAAATACCGCTAATAAACTCTCATCACAAATTTCAATAATAGCATAGCATTTATGTTTATCTGGTATTCTAATTCCATCTATCATATATCCATTGTGGTCATATTTCATAATTAATGGTGCATCATACGACAAAACATACATGCCCCCGTTCTTTGAAGGAGATAGACAAGAAATAACGTGGTGATCTTCATTATCAACAGGTATCTCAACAACGAATTGTGTATGAAGTTTGCAATTTATATTCGTTTGAATATTATGTTGTTTGTTTGCGAATTGAATTTGTAATGGCATTCTGGATTGATGTCTGTCTTCCTCTTCTTCATCCGATGACTCATCAGTAGAACGGTCGAAATGCCTATGTGTTTTGAAACACTTTTTACATAAGAGTAGTCCACAGATACCACAACATATGTAAATGACTTCAGACATTTGGCAATTCTTGCAATATTTTTCTGGTTTACAAATTGACACAAAATAATTTGTTAAAAACTGACTTAATCCTCCTTTTGGAATATTAAATTTAGTTCGACATAACGGACAAGACAGTTTTTGATTCCTAGATAATACTTCATCTCCATAATCTTTCAAGCATTTAAAACAAAATGTATGTCTGCAATCCAATATTTTTGGAAATGTGAGACAGTCATAACATATTGGACACGTGGCAGCAGTTTCTTCCATATTTTAGAAGTAAGTGTTCTTTCTAAAAGTAGACACAATTTTTATGATTATACATTTTCCTTATTTTATTAGACATCAAAAAGTGATGAATAAAAGTTCTCATTGTTTTGAGAGAGAGAGAGAGAAAAAAACAAAGATTTTTAGTTTTTGACTTTCTATGTTTTATCCAAATTATACAGAGTTGCCATTACTAGATTAGGTAAATTCGTATTTATCGAATCGCTGCAATTCATTCATTATTTCATAATTACATATTTACTAAATACTATTTAATTTATTTATTACTGTAATAGAACTGAGTATATATTTTGGGAAATTGATTGATTGATTGATTGATTAGTTGATTGATTGATTGATTGACTAGCATTGAATCGGTGCGAAACGACAATATCAGGACGAGAGCCAATTACTAAAATTTAAGAAAATGTGGGGTTTTTTTTCAAAAAAATTAGACAACAATGTTGTTTAAGACAATATTACTAATATGAATAACTTGAGCATCATGAGATACATGTTAAACGTCAATGGAAATGCGACCCAACGGTACAAAAACGCCATCTATAGGTTAACATACGGTCTTAAATATTAAAAAAAAGTGTCTTTAGAGTAACCCGCTTTTTTTAGTTTCAATATAATCAATAGATGATGATTAGCATACAACCAATTAATTTAAAAAAATATTCAAACATAGAGAACATCCAGCCATTTAAACTTTAAAGGGATAGATTCCTCGTCATTCTTTAGTGTAGATAAAAGAGAGAAAAAAAAGGCTAAACTGGCAATTTTGCTTGTCAACAACAAATATTATACATTAAAAGAACCCTTTTGGAAATCAGCGGAAACGCGTTTATGGGTAATGCTTGAAAAGAAATCAATACCACCCAAGATTCTTATCAAGAAAGACATAGAAGACAATTATATAATTTAATTAAAAATAAATTTAATAGTTATGATGAAAAAAGTAAAGTTTTTTTTATACAAAAACATAAAACTTGGTCAAGATAAGGAATTTTACTTATGGTACCACGATTTTATTATAAGAAAGTGTTTCACCAAACGCCGTATAAGTGACCACACTCTTGAAATGGGTAGGTATTTGAAAATCCCTCGAGAAGATAGACTTTGCAAACTATGCAATGTTCTTGAAAACGAGGAACATTTCCTCTTGGAGTGTAGTATAAATAATAAATTGAAATTGGATCTATTTCAAAAATTAAAATGATAAGACGAATTCATGTCACTACCAAAAGACCAAAAAAATATTTAATTATTAAACCATATATCAATAGAACATGTGAAACTAATCGGCTATTTTTTGGAACAGGCATTAGAACTGAGGACAGCAGCAGCTTAATTTTTCTTGTTTTTTATATGTATATATTTCTTGACTGCATTGATTATTCATGTTCGATTTATATTTCATTGATATGTTATATAAATATATATATATTTTCGACTCTTCAAAATTCAAGAGTCAATCCTAAATTGAGGTAAATTAACTGGCCTTCCAAATACCGTTTCGATTCCTAACATCACTGAAGAGACATTAATTGTCGAAATCCGGATATGGTGTACAAATCCTTTTTGCATCTCATATTTGCGGTATACCATCTTTTCCGCAAGTTTATTGTTTTCTATTTGGTATTAAATTTATAATTAAGATCCATTTTGTTACATCTGGTGATCCGTTTATTTGTCAATCGCCATGGCAGTCAGCAGGGTTTAAGAACATCCGTTGTTCGACCTGCTAGTCAAATGCGTTTTGTTAAAATATACTTTTTCACTTTTTTGGTCTTTTGGAAAATGTTGTTTGTGCTGTATTTAGACCCCTCTACCAAGAAATTTGTTTTGCATGCACACGTATAAAAATTGCGGTTTTTATCCAACGCAATCATAGGTTTGAACGTTGTTTTCAATTTAGACTTGTTTATAATTACTCTGAATATCAACAATGTTAAATCTGCAAATTTGCGGAAGCAAATTTTTGTTCTTCCTTCGCCGGGATTCGAACTCATGCTATTGAGATATCGAGACAACACCGCCTGCACTGTGTCCAGCGCTCTAGACCACTTGGCCACCTAGACTGAACTAAAAATTCAGCTTTCGGTGGCCTAGTGTTACCATTCCTCGTCAGTAGAATCTAGAGTTGTAACACAGTACATGAAATATTAGGCATGCAGATGGAATTGATTGCAGATTAGCTAAGTTATCTGTACTAAAGGATCGTATGATGCAGTCACAGAAGTACGTCTAAACAAGTGACAACTGTAGGACAGATCCATCCATTGGATCACCAGTGAAGGTGATAGATACACGACTGAAAACACATATTATATTCATAATTATTCTAAATATCAGCACAACAATGTTAAATCTGCAAATTTGCGGAAGCAAATTTTTGTTCTTCCCTCGCCGGGATTCGAACTCCTGCTACTAGTATTGGGATATCGAGACAACACCGCCTGCACTATGTCCAGCTCTCTAGACCACTCGGCCACCTAGACTGAACGGAAAATTCAGCTTTCGGTGGCCTAGTGTTACCTTTCCTCGTCAGTAGAATCTAGAGTTTTAACACAATACATGATATATAAGGCATGTATATATTTATATACCGAGAGAGAGAGAGAGAGAGAGAGAGAGAGAATATTATATGGCTTTTTCAATGTCACATCCGTATCAACCCGAGACACCAATACAATTCCAATAGCTCTGCTCGAGGGATTATATTGGTTGACGGTTGATACGGTGTGTGCTATTGAAAAGGCCATATCCTATAAACTTTATTATATACCTCAAGAAGATGGGTTTTTTTTTCACTTGATGTGACGTAATACAGATTAAGGGTTTGATAAAGCCTTTGCAAACGTGACTGATATCGATGACGTGATGTCATACAACTTAGGGTGTGATAAAGCTTTTGCAACCGTGACTGATATCGATATTATCACAGATGGCTGATACAGCACGATTGTCATTGATCGTATTACACATACAATTTATTTGTATGTACTACTAAGTATATAATAAATATATGGGTTTAAGAACATCCGTTGTTCGACCTGTTAGTCAAATGCGTTTTGTTTAAATATACTTTTTTCACTTTTTTGGTCTTTTGGAAAATGTTGTTTGTGCTGTATTTGGATCCCTCTACCAAGAAATTTGTTTTGCATGCACACGTATAAAAATTGCGGTTTTTATCCAACGCAATCATAGGTTTGAACGTTGTTTTCAATTTAGACTTATTTATAAATATATAATATATATAGCTTCTAACTTTGGTATTGAAATGCAATAACTTCACATTCAATGGTGAACACTTTCTCCAAGTTAATGGAACAGCAATGGGAACAAAGATGGCCCGTCTTATGCCAATATTTTTATGGGGAAATTAGAACAGCAAATTCTCAATTCTTTTCCTTATCAACCTCTCTCTTGGTTCCGATTTATCGACGATATTGACATGAAGTGGGATAATACTGAACAAGAACTCAATGTGTTCATTCAACATGCTAACGATGTTCATCCCACAATAAAATTCACTTATGAAATCTCTGACTCTTAGATCACATTTCTTGACACTACTACGCAAGTGAAGGATGGAATCATATTTGCAGATCTGTATTGCAAGCCCACAGACAAACATCAATATCTTTCTCCTTTGAGTTGTCATCCTAAACATTGCACCAAGAGCATTCCCTACAGCCAGGCCATACGAATAAAATGGATTTGCTCCACCAATGATACTGCAAAAAGGTGACTACAAGAACTTCGCGGTCACCTAAAAAATCGGGGCTACAAAAGAAAAGACATTGATAAAGGTTTCTCTCGTGCTAACAACATCAGCCAAGATGAACTTTTACAATATAAAGACAAAAAGGTCAACAAAAGAGTGCCGTTTGTGCTGACTTACCATCCAAATTTGACAAGTTATCACACCTAGTCCGCGAAAATTGGAAAGAAATCGAAAAACATCCTAAACTATCTTTCCCGAGCCACCTGTCCTGGCTTTCCGTAGGCACAAAAGCCTTAAAGACTTGCTGGTGAGAGCTGATTTATCCTCTAAATCAGGCTCTTCGTCTGTGGGCTCTTGCAAGGGATGCGGAAACAAACGATGTCTGACTTGCAAACAAAATCAAAACAAATACCCAGACTTTTAAAAGTCACTCCACTGGTACAGAATACACCATATTTTGCAATGTTAATTGCAAGACTACAAATGCTGTGTATCTTCTACAGTGTAAATGTGGTAAACAGTATGTTGGCGAGTCAGAACAGCCATTTCACAAACGAATGAACGGCCATCGTAGCGACTATGAATGCAAGCCAGACCTTCCTCTCAGTCGACATTTGAGATCCCCTGGCCACACTAAGGCAGATCTCAATCGACTGACCATTACAATCATCGACCACAACACTGTTTGGTCAAGGGAGGACAGACTCACTCGGGAAAGATTTTGGATAAAAAAACTAGAAACTTTGGCACCAAATGTGATCAATGAAAAGGTGTAGTTCTAATTCGCCCAGTGCTTTTCATTTGGGTTATATTACATATTACTACGCAGTCTCTGTTGCTATTCCTTTACCTTTGTCAACTCTAAAATCCAGAATTATACCAGTTTAAATCGCAGGGTACTAGTCATTTGGGAGGCATAAGTACGCAGCCATGTTCAATTACTTAACCTTTGTCAAAATTATTATTATTTTTTTTTTATCATTATGAAACTGCTATTTATTTGGGATATTTAAATACGCAGCCTCTGTTGTAATTACTTTACCGTCGTCAAATTTGAAATATTATACCAGCTCAAATCGGTCAGTGCTGTTCATTGGGAATGTATTTGTACGCAGTCTTTGTTGTAATATCTTAACTGTCGTCACCTTTGAAATTTTAGAAATGTACCAGTTCATATCGCACATTACTATTTTTATTAGAAGCAGATCTATGCAGTTTGTTGTAAATACCTATATAACCTACGTCATTTTTTAAATTCTAGAATTGTACAAGCGTTGTTGTGTTCGGTTTTAATTGTATAAATTTCAAGATTGTTAACAGTTAAGAGTAGATTGACATGATTCATTTTACATGATAATCATATTGATGAAGGATATCTGTTATCCGAAATATTTATAGATACTTACATTTATTGTTTCCTTTTTTTAATATTGGTGTTGTTTTGTACACTTTTTAGGCGTTTATATAATTTATTTATTGTGGTCTAAATACAGCACAAACAACATTTTCCAAAGACCAAAAAAGTGAAAAAGTATATTTTAACAAAACGCATTTGACTAGCAGGTCGAACAACGGATGTTCTTAAACACTGCTGACTGTCGTGGCGATGGCCAAATAAACGAATCACCAGATGTAACAAAATGGATCTTAACTATCAATTTAATACCAAGCAGAATATATATATATATGTATGTATGTATGTTTTTGTCACAAACATTTTAACTTGTTTATATGACAATAAAAATATTATTATAAGTGCATTTGAAAGGCTTGTTCGCATAAATTTAGCTGATATTTTTATGTTTCAAATTTTTAACAAAACTTGTAAATATTTGATATCATTTACCTTTCCATTTGAAGTGCTTCTCTAAAATGTCCTCCCATTAAAAATGTGAATCAATATCCGTTGAAATATACAACCAATTGTACATTTGATTCATTGTCAATTACAATTGCACAAACTTAAAGTAATATTTCCTTTTTGTGGGCTGAGTTTTATCTCGACAAAAAATTTACGAAATCTGAACCTAAACAGAAATTGCATGAGTAATAGAAATACATATTTTCCAGTTTCTAAATTTAGCTTCTACGATTTTCTTGGATATACACTTATATCTGAATTAACGTAAATGTGTTAAATATAGAAATTACAATTAAACTGTAATAGCCGTAAAGATCAGTTTTACGTACAACAAGGAAATTTGACAACATTAAAAATAGAGATTAACAAATGCACCAAACTTAAATGATAACTTAAAAACCAATGTCTTTATAATCTAGCTAATATTAGTTTAAACATTTCTTTAAACGTTTATCATTTGAAAAAAAATAGCTGACTGATTGTAATATTTCTGAATTGGGACAACACTAAAAGAGGTGGTTTGAACTTGCATCTTACGTTCTCATTCATTGAAAAATCAAACGAACATAAACAACCAAGATATAACACTTAATAGTTTTTGTTAAGTTCTGGTATCTGCCAACGAAAAAGTTTGAATAGCGGCTACTTAAAGCTCAAGCGTCAAATCAGCTTTGAACTTTATGCTTCGTATACAGGCAAACACAATGTATTGCTATTAATATTAAGCAAATTATTATTATTCTCGTTTGTCGCGGTGTGAAGATATATGCTATTGTCGAAATCCAAATATATTTGTAAAAATAAGATTAATAATTTTCCAAATCTACTCTTTTGTACCACAATAGACACCGCATTGTCCCCATAGACTTGTGTTAATGGAGAGGTCACCTTATCTATTCGAACAGGAAAATCTCTTTGTTTGTAAAAGAAAGATTAAAAAACCTTTGTGATTAAAGTACAAAGTACAAAAAGAGTAAAATAACAAAAAATACCGAACTCCAAGGAAAATACAAAACGAAAAGTCCTTTATCAAATGGCAAAAAAACTGAAACACATCAAACGAATGGAAAACAACAAAAGGAAACACCATTTAACAAGACTAAATAAGGCGTCTTCATATGCAAAAAAAAAAAAACACTGAAGATAACGATTTGAAACAAGAACTTAAGTCATTCTTAAATGAAGTATACTGAAATTTTTAAGATCAGTGGACGAATTGGTGTCATCCATCGGCATTCAATAAAAATGTTTTTCCTGAAAATTTCCAGAACATTGCCAGGAAGAGAAATATGAAACAATAGGAATTAATGAATGATAACGCGATGACAATGTTTAACACAACTAAATACTTCCAAAACTGTTGTTTTACTTCCTTTTAGCGATTTGAAACCTTCCTTCTAGTAGATAATAGTCTCTCTATCAGAATAAATAGATAATAGTCTCTCTATCAGAATAAAATGGGAACGCAAATATTTTGGTATTCACAAGTTTCAGACATATAGCCTATCATAGGTGTTTCTCGTTTTATTATATAGATTAGACCGTTGGTTTTCCTGTTTGAAATGTTTTACACTAGTCATTTTGGGGCCCTTCATAGCTTGCTGTTCGGTGTGAGCCAAGGCTCCGTGTTGAAGGCCGTGCTTTGACCTATAATTGTTAACTTTTATACATTGTGACTTGGATGGAGAGTTATCTCATTGGCACTCATAGCACATCTTCTTATTTATATACATTATAAGGTTTTATTTGTTGTTTTGTTTTGTTTTGTTTTGTTTTATTTTGTTTTGATGGGTTTTTTTAGTGTGTGTGGGAGGGGGGGGGGGGGGGCTGGTATTCACCGGTAAATGACTGGATCGTTCGAGTTTCCAGAGTATAGAATTTTACACAACCTCGTATGTGGAGAGTGCAGTATAAGGCAATCCTTTTGTTTTAAGAAGTGAAAGACTTAGAAATGGCAACTAATGTTTAAATCCGACAATTTTCTACTTTAAAAGTCAAAGTTGCCCGCTCTTTTTCTTCTTCTGAAATTCCTTTTTTACTTGAAGTCGGTCATTTGGTCCGAGGTGACATGAATGAAACATTTGTTAAGTTTTACTGAACGATTAAAGTGTTTAATTAAAACATCAGAGTTTTATTTTGCCTCTTATATGAAATAAATTCATAATTTTACTTAACAAGGTATATAGGTGTAATAAACAACAGTTCAAAATACTTAAACATACATGTTCTATTCTGAATTCATTGGAGAGCAAAACAACTTTTTCTTATTTTGAACCCTATAATTTTGTGCTTTTTTACTTCAAAACAATTAAAATTTTAAATATTTTGCAAAATGTTCCCTGTTATTAGAACTGTTCATGAGATGATTAAAGCTGTACATTTTCCCCTTGACAACATTTGTGTTCGTTTCGATAATTAAGCCAACTTGCTCCTGTGCTGTTATGACTAGTGTTTAACAATCGTTGTCATATTTTTTGGGCGTATTGATGACTGGTATTATCTGCTTAAGGTATGGGGTGGTCTAAATTAAAAACGATAGAAGTTTTAAATACTTTGGCAAAATAAAGTTATACATCATGAGTCACGAATTTGTTCAAGCTGTGCAAAATTGTCAGATTTTTATAATGATTATATATGTAAAAACAACTTTTGTGTGAATAGATAGAAAACTAAACGATAGAATTTTAAAATAAAATACATGTATGAGAAAATAACTGTTATAATGTGCTTTCATAAAATTAAAATATAGATTGAGGTCACTGTACTCGTTTTCTCGTGACAAAAGAAAATGATAAATTTAATGTACATTCCTATGGTGGCCGGATGCGGCCATTTCGCGTTTTCGCGTTTTCTCCTTTCACTTTCACGCGAAATCGAGAAATCGAGAAATCGAGAAATCGGGAAATCGGGAAATCGAGAAAGCGAGAAAGCGAAATCGAGAAATCGAGAAATCGAGAATTCGGGAAATCGAGAAATCGGGAAATCGAGAAATCGAGAAATCAAGAAAGCGAAAACGAGGAAACGCGAAGGAGAAAACGCGAAAACGGGAAAAAGATTTCTCTATTTCGCGTTTTCGCTTTCTCGATTTCTCGATTTCCCGATTTCGCTTTCTCGATTTCCCGATTTCCCAATTTCTCGCTTTCTCGATTTCGCTTTCTCGATTTCGCTTTCTCGATTTCCCGATTTCCCGATATCTCGATTTCTCGATTTCTCGATTTCGCGTTTGCAAAGTGAAAGGAGAAAACGCGAAAACGCAAAAAGGCGAAATGGCCGCATCCGGTCACCATACATTCCTTTATAAAAAATTAAATCATTTGAGATATATCCACTCATATATGATTAAATACAAATTCAATTCATTCAATATTGTTATTTACGTCTCACCTTATACATAAAATTACACAATACAATTGTAAAAGATACATTTTTCATACATAGGCCAATCTGTACAGATTTATGAGAGATGATAACAACTAAAACTACATGTATATACATTTAAAAAATATTAAATATTAAGTTCAAAAATTGGGTCAAACAAAAACAGTCTTTATTTGCTTAAAATAGTCGTTACAATAAGATAAATCAAATTGTTTATGAAAAGTCTTACAAGGGAATTGCATATTAATATTTGTATAGCAGTTATATATATTATAGCAGATCATCTTAATAACACTACAGTCAAATTTTCATCCATTTGTATATCATTCTATTCTACTATTCTAATGATAGTGCAGTGCAAGTGCATGGTGGACACTCTTCTGTAATAATTCTTTTTTCTAATAGATTAGATTTGAGTACTCATTCATATTTTCCCGCTTTTGTTGCAAAACGTTCTCGAGATATTCTTCCGCATGCGTTAACACAAATTTTCGGTATTCATGATTTGTTATTGATATATATATATATATTTCTCACGACAAAACATTTCATATCATTTATCTTTGTTCTTTAAAATTATTTTCATGAATATTTATTGATGAAATTAATATATAACAAGCGATAAGGAATGTTATTTTGCACTCGATAATATCCGCGTAATTATACGAAATACGTTCGGTTATCAGTCAAAAACGCAAGTCACGTGGGTAGAAATGTCTGTAGCAACATAACACCGGAATGACTCAAGGTCATCCGCTGTAATTACTAATCAAGGACATCACTTCATAATTTGTTTTAAATAACGAAGGGGACAATTAAACCAGCATTCTGATTTTCAGTTCATAAAGGTGCATTTTAAAGATGTAGTTGTATTCTTCTAGCTGGAGTAGTTTTCCGACTGAATATTATTCCTCTCATTATTTGAAAAAAAACATTATTTCACAAATCGCGCCATCCGCTTTGTTAATGCCTATTTCAAAAGTATTGACTCAACGTATAACAAAATCATCTGCAACATAACTACTTACCATACGAAAAAAACATTATTAACAAATGTGATACATATATCAGATTGTAAAATAAGGAAGATAGTTTTAATTCTAAAACATATGATTTCCGATTTGCGACCACCAGGATTTCAGTTATCTAAATTATTCGCAAATTTTTCCAACTTAAACGTTTTGATGGTGCCATAAAGCGAGTCACTGCTCCATACGATCCCATTATCATCAAACGCTATATCCGGCACCACTTTTCCAAAGCAATCCTCGCAATCTGTCGTACCTAATGCAACTAATTCCCCAAATTTGTTGATAATATGAAGCTGACCTTCAGGCGAGCAAACAATGAAATTGCCATCAGAAGTAGTACAGATCCCTGAAGCATGAAAACATATCTGGCGTTCTATTTGAATTGAAGATGTTGACATTTTCGTAGTTGTTTGGTTACCACCCTTATATATTACATAGTGTCCATCATTTTCATGTAAAATTACAACGGTATGGTTTTCATGATCTGCAATCGCAATTACTCCATGCTCCTTATCATATGCAATTTTATGTGGAAAATCGAACACCCCATACTGTCTGTCAACTGTTCGTAGGGGTTCCCCGAAACTAGAATATAGTTGTAAACATCCATGTCCAAATCCTGAAAATGACATATCCACCTTCTTACCACATGTAAGTATGTTTCCGTTTGTTAACTGAACTATGTCAACGGGAAAATAATCTGGACACGTGGCAAACAAAGACCATAAACCAAATTTGTAGGAAAGTATAGTTCTTTTAAAGGGAAAAGTTCCTATTAAATCACCTCCATTTGTTTCGTATATTCCCACGCACTGATATGGTGTATGAATTTTATCTATTGTTTTTCCGTATTGATTCATAAGTAATATAAATGGGATACCAGAAGGTACTACTAAAATACCACCAGTACTAGAAGCGAGTCGTATTGAATATATAATATGACAGTCGTTTTCCTGTGGTGACTCAACAACAAAATGTGTTTCCAGCTTATAATAACCAATTGTTTTTATATTCCCTAAGCGTTGTAAAAATGATGAGCTAAAATCTATGTTTGGGTCAAGTATTTCACTTCCATTGTCGTGATGCTCCTTCTTGGGTGGAGAATGGGAATGTTTTTCAGAACAAACCGCACACAAAGGCAAACCACATACTTTGCAATTTCCAGAAACTTTCAGATGCTTTTGACAATTCAAGCAATATTTGACTGCTTCGGAACTACTCACAAAATAGTTTGTAACTAAATGGCTAAGTCCGTCATTTGGTATTTTGCAATCTGTGCGACAAAGCGGACAAGACAGTTTGTGCTGTTTTGGTGCAATCTCATCTGAATAACACTTTAAACATCTCAAGCAAAACGTGTGTCTACAGTCCAAAATCTTAGGTGATGTAAATCTCTCAAGACATATTGGGCAGTTGTCACTTTCTTCCATCTATAATTTCAAAAACATTAAACAGGATTAAAATGTAAATGCAAATTTTGATGGTGTTTTGAGGGTGCTGTCCAGTGGCGGATCCAGAAATTTTCATAAGTGGGGGCCCACTGACTGCCTAAGAGGGGGCCCGCTCCGGTCATGCTTCAGTGATTCTCTATATAATCAACCAAATTTTTCCCAGAAAAGGGGGGCCCGGGCCCTGCTTTCATTTTTGCAAATTTTGTATGTCGATTTTCAAATTTTGTAAATTTTATTCTGACTGCATTACATTCAATGTATCAAGTAAATCAACATGAAAGTCTCAATAACAAAAATCTAAGCATTGGCATTTCTAGGTTGTATTAAAATATGCAACTGAAAATTTATCAATTTATGTAAATCAATTGTATCTGATTTTATGCCCTTTATGGGCCCTGTGATTTGGGAAATAAAAATATTCTATTCTATTCTATTCTATTCTATCAATGTGTTAATTACAATGCATGAAAAACTTACTCACAAACTTGGCAAACAAAGTTTCCATACTTTTTAGCATGCAATTTGAGAAGAGCTACAAATGTTTAAAATTTCTAAAAAAAAATATACATACATAGTAAGTGTAACTTTGAAAATACTTATAATGAAAGTGTCATCAAAATCAATTTACACAGTAAATATTGGATGTCAGAGTACGATTCAAGTATATTTCTATTAAGCGCAACTTTATTGAATTGTACACATGTTAAATCATTAACCCTTAATACTTTTTTACGAATTCTAGATGGTCAACATTAATACAATATGTTTTCATAAGTACACAACGTCTTCTTGTAAAAACAGACAATTCAGATAATAGATCAAGTCCGTGTTAGTTCAGGCATGGTTGCACGGAGTGTCTAATGTTTCGGCTAGCCGGAAGAATAGTTAAAAATCTCTATTTTTCAGGCCATCCGTTTGCGGACGAGCAAATGTTCAATATCAACATGTAGCACATGTAGCACGGAAAAGTGTCTCGGATGAGGTGTACGATTGCAAACGCGCGTATGCAATGAACATTTTGAGAATTGGAGATCGTGATTTATGTTTAAAGATGTACTAAAGAAAATAAGAGAGAATGTGATTGCTTTAAAAACAAATTTCTGTAGGACAGACACCAGAACAATAGCGCGTGCACGTAAACTGAGAGGAATAAAGCGTGATATCAAACTGAAATTGCTGATATACCTCATTACTTTTACCTGTATCAATGGAGGCAAAACGCATAACAACAATTCACAGGAAAACGACTAAATAAAATGTACTTGGATGCATTATTTCTAAGTTCTACTACAACGGAGATCTATGAACATGCACTGATATGCCTTGAGTGGGAATGGCATACCAGGGTTGGGGTAAACCCCCTTTAATATTCTGTTTTACTTATTTTCTTAATAATACTTTGGGGGAAGTTTACATGTGCCTACCCTTTTCTCATATTTTCTATGTGTTAAAAATCACCGAACATTTTGAATAAAAAATCGTGCAAAATCATTTGACGACTTCATTGGAAACAAACTTCAAGGAAACGATAAATTCATGATCTTCTTTAGGAATCGTAGATTGAAGCCAGAAATCAGTGGCCCGAAATTCATAGGTAGAATATAAAAATAGGAGAGGCATTTTTGTCCCCCCCTCCCCCATTCCCTCAGAATAAAAAAAAAATCTGAATATGCTGTATACTATGAAGTAAATTTATTTGCATTTTGACTTGTTTTAGTGAATGAATGGAAACTTTTTTGTACAATTTTTTGCCAAGACTATTAGTGACTTTAATTCAAAAGTGTATTTGATGCATATCAAACGATTTTGATATTCTTTTTTTTCAATCTCATTTTACAAGCTGTTTATATTTACGGGGAATCGGCGTGTTCTCTAGAACAGCCAGTAGAAAAATAAATCAAAGTTGGTACTTGAGGGGTTTATTCCCATAATAATTCTGTTTTTATTTTATTTTTTCATTATTACTATTTTCCAGAACGTTTTATCTTGCGTTTATAATCAGTAACGTCCACTCGGAGAACGTGCAAAAAATGAATAGTTCCAATTCTCAGTGTTTGCATGAGAGGAAATCTTTTGCTACTACATTCTCCATTGGATGCTATAATAACCACTTACATGTAACCAAAAACATATTCATTATTCATTGTTATGTATGGCCGGAATTTTAGCACAATAGTAGAGAAAAGCTGTTCTTCAGAATAGCCGGAAGAATAGACATTTTTGCTATTTTTTCGGCTAGCCGGAAGAATAGCCACTGCCATGATTGTATCACAGTCCTACCTAGTGTGCTTGATAATCATTGTGGGACTTTCTAAATCAAAGATGACGCCGCCAATGAACATAATTTTGCTAAGGTAATCTATGTTTTCAATAATTCTTAGTTGCTCAATATTAAGGTGACTTATCATACATACTATAGTGACAACGTTGTTTTCCCCACTTTACTATTGCCCGATAGAAAACATTTTGTAGATTAAACACAACTACATGCCTGTCCCAAGTCAGGAGCCTGTAGTTCAGTGTTTGTCGATGGTTCGTGTTTGTCATATTTGGTTTTCGTAAATTGTTTTGTTATAAGTTAGGCCGTCAATTTTCACAATTGTATCATATTTCTCAATTCGGGGCCTTTTATTTTTTAGATCCTTTTTTGGTTTATGCTCTGCAACGTTTTCGGTCCTTGACTTTCAAATATTCGGATTTGGGCGTTCCTGATGAAGGTAAATCCAGAAAAGCGCCTCGGACGCATCAAATTTATAACGTGTTGTTTTCATTTTTTATAGCCGACTATATGGTATGGGTTTTTCTCATTGTTGAAGACCGTACGGTTGCCTATAATTGCTTACATCCACTTTATTTGGACTTTGGTGGATAGTTGTCTTATTGGCAATCATACCACATTTCCTTATTTTTATTCAACCAACAAGATTGGTTCCCTAGATGAGTAAAAATCTCTGATTTGGGGGATATTTTTCAATGTTATTTTTTATTTGACTTTTTTTTATACTCGAAACAAGAGATGTATCAATAACAACACTCGGCACTCGGAAGGGACGTAAACTATTGTCCCGTATTGTACCAAGTCAGGAATATGACAGTTGTTATCCATTAGTTTGATGTGTTTGAGCTTTTGATTTTGCCATTTGATTAGGGACTTTCCTTTTTGAATTTTCCTCGGAGTTCAGTATTTTTGTGATTTTACTTTGTATTAAGAGAGCGATTAGTCAAAGGAGTAAAAAATAAACACAATCGTAATTCGTCAAATGTAGGCTAAAATGAGGCCGAAGCTTAATTGTCCTTAATTGACATACCCTGTCTAACTTTTCAAACATATATTTCATAAAACATCAGCAATCAACCGATTTGCATACAGACGACAGAATAACTCAGTATAAGGCAACGATATTGTTTATATATAATTAAAATTTTGAATGTTTAAGATGAAAGTTTTATATTAATATTCGTGTACAAAAGTGATATATGAATGACAAAATATGTTAGAATAAGTCAATACTTACCGGTAAGAAGTTGTCTTTCTCTGCAAGGAAGAAAAATAAAAGAATTATGGAAAAAAATTCAAGATCGAAAGAAAGAGGGCAAAAAATAAACAAAAGAATTTTCCTCATTCATGTTCTATATATCATATAACAGAAATTGAACGGTGTATGAGGAAATGATTTATCTGAGAAGTATTAAAATTTGACAGCATTCATTTAAAAAATCTGAACTTGGTGCTACGGCCGCTGCAAGGTTTGGTGTTCCAGATAGACTTTTTAAATGTCATGGACGTTGGAAGTCGGACACTTCAAAGAATGGCTATGTGAAAGACGATTTATCAGAACGTATGATCGTTTCTCAGAATTTGGGAATTTAATGAATTTCTTTTTTGTTTTATTTACATTTTGGACTTTACAATTTTCCATATATTATTATATAGTAACAAATAGCTTCCCGTTCTATGGGTTCAGCATCGGCGTTGTCGTGCGACTATCCACTTTACAAAGTCTTTGGTATTTATTATAGCCTTTTATGGCGTGCATATTCAGAGTGTTTATATAATACTTGGATATTTGGTACAAGTATTGGTTATACTTGGATATTTGGTACAAGTATTGGTTATACTTGGATAATTGGTACAAGTATTGGTTTAATGTCTACATTGATGGGTGGTTTATACCAGGAGAATTGTAATTTCATTCGTTTAAACGGGCAGTGCATTAGAATGAAATTAATTTCTCCTGTGTGTTTCCATCATATGTAGCATAGAGGGCGTTAGGTTTTCCCGCTTCAAAATTATTTTCGCGGTATATTATTGCCTTTGTAATCATTCAGCACGACACCGTCAATCTGAGCAGTCGAATTTTCTTGGTAAATTTTACTTCTGGTTAAAGTTTATTCAGCTTTATATTATATTGAAGATTTTTTTGTTTGATACTGATGTTTGAATTATATATTATATGTGTAGATATATGTATGAATTATGTTGTTTATTATACTTATTAAATATAGAGCATCGGCGTTGTCGTGCGACTATCCACTTTACAAAGTCTTTGGTATTTATTATAGCCTTTTATGGCGTGCATATTCAGAGTGTTTATATAATACTTGGATATTTGGTACAAGTATTGGTTATACTTGGATATTTGGTACAAGTATTGGTTATACTTGGATAATTGGTACAAGTATTGGTTTAATGTCTACATTGATGGGTGGTTTATACCAGGAGAAAGAATCAAATTGGTATAACAGGTTTCAGCCATGATATTTTTACATATTCGATACTTTGATTAAGTATGCGTTACTTGTTCAATAGACAGTAAAGAAAGGCAACATTGAATCCATGATCTGCGTAACAAACAAGTAAACAATGTCTTGTTCATTGTACACACTTAGATAGATATGCTGCAACATCTATTTTGAACTTTTGTATGTTTTATGTATTTTGTTCAACGTCCTCAAGAGTGAATAGGGTATTTTAAAAATAAGTAAGGTCCATGATTTTCATTGAATGATTAAACAATCAATATTCAATCAATCCTCCGCGTAAGTCAGTTATTCTCAATTTTGACATGTATTAATTAATCCAGACTACGATGAGGATTTCAGTTGAGCAAAGCATGCATTCGAATATTTGAAAACAAAAACCATGACAATGATTAAAAGGAAATATCAGCGTTTACGTCAATGAGACAGCAACTGAATAACGTACATCTAGATGTTGTAAGGTCTTTCACAATAGATAGACTTTTATTTAATGTAAACTCTGAGTCGCCTCAGGTCTAAAAATTAATAAAGTGCACCGAAGACTTTTTCTAAGATCTGACAAATCAACACCGAATTCCCCAAAAGACAAATCAATTACGATACTTATATCAAAAGACATGCAACCACTGACGAGGTTCCTGACTTGGGATCTGAACGTAAAGATGTTGATGGCTTTGAGTAGATTTTGAGATCCAATTTTCATTTTTCTTATCTCGATCAATTTAACCACAAAGGGTATTAAAAACAACATAAAAAAATCAGAATAGTAAAATCACTGAACTATTTAAAAATAGTATAATACTGTTAGATAACAAAATAACTAAAACAAAAAATAAAATAATACCGTATCGAAGACTGTTCGCAATTATAAAGCAAGATCAAGCAGTATTAACAAAACTACCGAACTCCAAGGTAAATGTAATCAAAGTACTGTAGTACTGAACATCGGATGACCGCAAGTTCTGGTGGATGGTCACAAGCACTTGTCTCAGAAAAAAAACCATCTCTATACCTGAAAGTTAGGTTAAGGTAGATAGATATATTTTTTCTGAAACAAGTTCGTGTGTGAATGATGAATAAATGACAGGGAATTCAACCTCACCGTAATAACTATTATATTGTAGTGATATGATTATTTGTTATCAGTATACTCTGGTTTGTTGTTATATATCATATTTATATTTTTATAATAGTTATATAAAATTTTCATCCATTTGTGTATCATTCTATTCTACTCTTCTAATGATAGTGCAGTGCAAGTGCATGTTGGACACTCTTCTGCAATGATTCGTTTTTTCTAATAGATTGGATTTGAGTAGGCATTCATATTTTCCCGCGTTTGTTACAAAACGTTCTTGAGATATTCTTCCAAAAACCAACTGTCTTATTCCTGACTTGGTACAGGCATTTTTCGAAGAAAATTGTTTGTTAAACCTGGTTTTATAGCTAGCTGAACATCCCACTTGCATGACAGTTGTTTATAGTTCCGTTATATTGACAAAATTAGGTGAACAACTCAAACAGACATAATAGATTAATTTGACAATAATTGGGACCCAGCAGCCAAAACTTACAAACCACACATATACAACACAACTGACTACAAAATTCAAACAAACATACAAATAAATTTGACAAAGACGCCAACAAAAAATGTTTTTAGTTGATAGTAAATTTAACAAAGAAGCCAACAAAAAGATTTTGTATTTGATAGTACATACGATAAAAAGTATAATCTTTCTATTTGAAAATAAGAAATGGTCGGTCAGGAGAGGTGCCCAGTTTGTTCTCATAGACATGTCGACAACCTACTGGAAAATGTGATAGAGAGTACTGAAAATAAAATTTTAAGATCATTAGACAAATTGGTGTCATTCATTTAAACATAAATCTGGAAATTTCGTTAATTGTCAGGAAGAAAAATATGAAACGATGGGAATAATTAAATGACAACGCCATAACAGTTTTAACTCACCTAAATACTACGAAAGCGTGTTTTACTTCCAGTCTGCAATTTAAAACCTTCCTTCTAATAGACAGTTATCTCTCTTTAAGAATAAAATTGAACCGCAGTATTCACCGATAAATGGCTGAGTCGTTCGTTCAAGTGTCCAGAGAATATAATTTTACACAAACTCGGATGGAGAGTGTGTAGTAAAAGACAATCATTTGAAAAAAGAGGAGGACGTAGAAACAGATGGTTAAACCCGTCAATTTTCTACTTAGACAGTCGCAGTTGCAGAGCTTTTTTTCTTCTTCTGAAATTCCTGCTTAACTGGCATGAAGACGGTTATTTGTCCCAAAGTGACACGAATGAAATTTTTGTTTTGTTTTACTGAACTATTAAGTTTGAAATTAAAACAGCAGGTTTTCTTTAACTCTTAATACAAAATATACTTACATGGCGTTGTCAATTTATTTTCGACTTATGAGTTTGAATGTCCCTTTGGTATCTTTCCCCTCTCTTATACTTTTACTAAACATTGCCGCGATATAGCCTTTTTGTACTGAGGTGGCGTAAAGTAAATAAAAAACAATCAATCATTTTTTAAGAAGATATACATGGTTGTTTTGTCTATACCAGCAAAAACCCTTGATGAAATTTGAACACTTACAGAGTTGTTTTTCGTTCGTGTAAGAATATGACTGCATGAAAAAATAAAAATAACTAAAATACCGAACTCCAAGGAAAATTCAAAACGGAAAGTCCCTTATCAAATGGCAAAATCAAAATCTCAAACACATCAAACGAATGAAAAACAACTGTCATATCCCTGACTTGGTACAGGCATTTCCTTATGTAGAAAATGATGAATTAAACCTGTTTTTATAGCTAGCTAAACCTCTCACTTGTATGACAGTCGAAATTGAATGGATGACACGGGCTTATACGTGCATGTAAAACGTATTGGCAGCAATGAATCTCACCATTGAAGTAAAACTCAACAACATATATCATTGGAATTATATCACAATAAACGATGTATTAGATATAAGAAGATGTGGTATGAGTGCCAATGAGACAACTCTCCATCCAAGTCACAATTTGTAAACGTAAACCATTATAGGTCAAAGAACGGCCTTCAACACGGAGCCTTGGCTCACACCGAACAGCAAGCTATAAAGGGCCCCAAAAATGACTAGTATTGTCCACATAACTTGAGTTGAAATGTTAAAATGCCGTGAAAAAATGGTTTTATATATCAGTTTATACATTGGAAAATAAGAAATATGTCAGATTTACATTACACGAAAAACACAAGAAACTCAAGAAATAAAAGGAAATAACCAATATATCAATTAAATAGAACCTTTATTATTGATATTTTTGTCTGTTGGATGAAAAATGCAATGATAAACCAAGCCGTGTAACAGTTGAAGACATTCCCTGAAACGTCCAACATTTACAAAAAGTAAAATTGAAAAAAACTTCAGAAAACATTCAAAACCTATAAGTTTTATAATAATTGTTATTAATTGTCAAACCATATATTGACTTTCACACATTTTAATAATAAAAAGACTTAATAGTACTTTTTTGTGTTATGAAAATTGTCTCATGCCAATTCATTCTAAGAAAACATGACCAAATAAGGACACCAATTCACAAATTGTATCAAATAACGAACGGGGATAACTTCACCGAAAACCTTATTTACATTTTCATATTTTTAAGAAAATGAATCAATTTGAAGACATAAGAAATGTTCTACCAGACAGCTTTGTAAATATAGCTGATATAGTTGCATTCTTCTAACTTGAATATTTT